TTAGTTTTTTTAAAATAAATAAAATCATAGCTTGTAATAACCATAAGCTTTTTTCGCTTCATTTATAAAAGTGCTTCTCGTATGTTCATCCAATTCTTTAAAACTATCTGTGTTGACTACATCTACATTGTTTTCTATAAAGAATTCAAAACAATATTCCTGCACTATCTGAAAATTATGCGGAGAGAATACATATAAATATTATTAAAATACAGTGTTCATTTGTATTGAAGATATAAATAAATAAATAAGAAATAAAGATACATTTTTGCAGTTAATGAATTCTAAAGCAATACTAAAAATAAAAAAATTGTTCAACGATATTTTCGGAACTAATCTCTAACCTAAAATTCATAAATGACAAAAAATTTGAAAAAATTCTACATTTAAAACAAAAATAAAAACAAATTGCAATCGAATTAAATACTAATCCATCAATTTCATTATAGAATATAGATCATGATACTTTCCTCTAGAAAAGAAAGTAATAAGAAATAAAAGGAAAATTCGATCAAATAACCTTGTTATTATACGTTTGCGCTGTTCTATAAACAGAGATTATATTTTCTTTAGTTATTTCTTCCTTTATTTTCTTATAGCAACTTTTTAGCAAATGAATGTCTTTGAACTTTTCAGCCATTATTAAGAGATCTGCAATGAAATGATTTTAATCGTGAACTTTAAACAAGTATATAACTGTACGTATTTAACTGAAATTCACCAAATTTCTTGTCCAAAGATACAAGATCAATGTCGCCGGTATATATATATTTAAAATAGGTGTAGACCGTGACATATGAAAACTGATCGAGTCTGATAACGCTATAAGGAGAAGCATACGAATCAAATATAAAATATTTTTTTAATAAGAATAATAATAATAATTCTTAATAAAAATAACATTTACATATTTTCACAATACTCACTCTTGATCGTCTTCGGACGTTACAAATCGAGCTATCTCTCTGAAATATGAAGAATAAGTTTGTAACACAAATTTATTGACATAAATAGATCGCAGTCCGACTTTTATCACAAGATCAGTGGGAATCTGCATCAGAGATATAAAAAAAAAAACACGTGTGAGATAAAGA